TAGTTTCGATTTTGATTCACGGTGATAAGTGCACGAAAGTGTACTTTAAACACTAAATTACTATGCTAAAATGTCAAAAAGTGAAAAGAATTAATTTATGTTCTTGAAGTGTTGTTCTATTTACTTTAAGATAATTTATAATCTGATTCATGTGTTTTATTTCGGGGTTTTATCCAAAAGAAGAATGGATATAATAAATAAAAAATTGGTCGGCGTCGCAGCGTCAATAATGGGAGCCGTGGCGCCGGTCACGAAAAAAGAGAAATTTCAACCTTTTGGACTCTATTTCGGCCCATTCGAATTCTAATCTTATTGGGGACTTGAGAAGACAACAAAAAAATGGCACCTTTTGGAATCAATAAGGAAAATCAAGAGGAGATGATCAACAATTCCACGGAGAACTAAACATTTTGGTGAATTTAGGAAGAAACTCAATTGATTCGATGATTTCAACATTATTTGATTTATAAATTTTGATTTTCATTTTAGACAATTATATGGTTTAGATCTTCTTTTCATTAAAGTATTTGAAGATTGGTTAAACTTTTATTAATTTTTTCATAGATTCAATCACGTTTTCTCTATTGAATGATTGAAATACTCGTTTAAGTTTTAGCCCCTATTTAATAACCATTTTGGCCAAAAATGAGAATACAATTTATGGCCGTTATATCTCTCTGTGGGACCCAGTTGTACATCAGCTTTTGATTTGACATGAGGTTTTTTTCAAAATTGCCATAACTTCTCTCAGAAATAATTTTATTTGAAAGGGCAAATAGATAATTTAACCAAATTCGTTCAAATAAAAATGGCTCCCTTCGACAATTACACTGTATAACGGTTGGAATTCATCTTAAAATGAGGTCAAAATGGTTACCAAACAGGGGCTTAATCTCATTTATCTAATTTTATGTGATTCGTTACTACTTTATGCTTCAAATATATGGTTTTTTTAATTTTTTTTCTAGTAAACAAAAGTATGAATGATATTGCAGAAGAGTTAATTTTTAGAATTACAATTGAATTAAATTGATTTTAATTACATTTTTCTAATTAGAGAAACTAGATGAGCATCTCTAATTGAGTCTTAAGAATAAATCATTGATGTTTAATGATCAAATCCAATTGATGAAATTCTGACGCTTCACTAATTTAAACATTGATTTTATTTTCATTCAAACAAATAAATTCTTTTCACACGTTTAAAAGAACATTCATCTTTCAAATTCTTTAAGTTTTTTTTAACTATCTTCTTTGTGAAATCAACACCCCAAAGCTGTGCTAGAACATCCATGTTATTCTTTTTTGGCGTAATAAGACAGACTAACACTTTAGGAATAGAGAAGAGTTCACAAATCAGGTATTAAATTTAAAAAAATGCAAAACTTAGGTATTTAGTTAATTAATTA